ATGAAGTATATCAAGGGAACTATGGGGTATAACTGGCTTAAGGGGGCCCGTCTTGTCTCTTTTTTTCGGCATTTTCTCCCTTCCTGCCGAATTTGATTTAAATGCACTTCCAGAGAGGTTTTGGGTGTGTCTCCCCTGGAAATTTAAGGCCCACGCGCTATTTTCTGAAGCTTATAAAATTTTTACATATGTGAGGCCTACCTTCATTTTTCGGAATGTATAAAATCTGGAAGCGTTCCAAAACACTAGCGAAGAATGTATGTGTACAATATTAGGAATGATATGCCATTTATATGGAGTATCTTTTCTTGATTTTTATAATATTTCGTCAGAGACCGGAGCGAGAGCAAATTGGACACCGCCATCTTATAGAGCGGAAGAAATAGTGGGATAGGATATGGTATAAGACGCAGAGGCCTTACAGTCACCGTTAAATGACGAAAATACAACACACGGCCGCCTTACAAATTCAGGAGTCGATGAGCTTGTTTACCTTACGAAGAAAAACAGACAATTGAACGCATAACTCCTTAATGCGATACCCTAAGTAGTTCCAGTATTACTACGCACATGTCAAAACAATATTTGGCTACTGATCAGTGTATAATAATGCATGCTCTTAGTGTTTTATAATAATCCTCATACTTCATTTACATATTTTAGTATTGATTTATAGCCTTATTTAGATTCGTGTGCATTCTGCATTTCACACCACTAGCCGTCCGCTCATTTCGAGACGAACGCCTGTAAGAAATGTTGCATTTCCTGTGTTGTGTTCATTCTGGGTTATTCTTAAGACTATACAGTGACAAAGAAGATAAAATAGACTACAGTAACGATTCCAGTTTAATATGTGGGTCCACCAAGAGCTCCAAATGCAGAAAAAAGTGATTAAAATCGAAGCAATTAGACGTAGAAGGAGCGAACGAACGACGGTTTGCAAAACGAAAGTTTGACGGTTTTGGTATTTTGTTTATTTTACTGTGTGAATGCAGCTCTCTTGCCATGCATACCGGGGGGGAGAAATGTTCGGGGGGGGGGGGGTTGTTTGGGCTTGCCCATCAACCCTCCCCTCAGGTACGCCTAGTCACAGCAATTTATATTTATATATTATTGGATTTTTAATATACTGAATTCATAGTCGAACAAGTAACGGGTAAACGATGAGGAAATAAACACCGTGGTAAAATAAGGAATAGTATAACAAGCTACTATGGCTTATGATATGTTTTTACAGATTTTGTAAATTTCTACAATATACACATGTGTAAAGGTTGAAAGTAATGCGCTGCTACTTGCTTCCGCAGTGGACGCGGCGGTAAGTAATCGTCAATGTAAGCCTTAGTTATTTTATGAATGCCTTTTTCAAGGATGTATTACAGCATTTATTTCCTTTCAATACAGGTCTTCATTGAATGATATTCACACAATTCAATAAAGTATATGATTTTAATCATCAAATTTTAGATTATAATTTGTTATGATGATCCTTAACCATTCGTAGTTAATCATGTAATTCTTCTCATAAATATTCTCTTATCCTCAGCATGGCACACCTTTTAATTGTTGTAGTCATGGGGGTGATGGCGTCTAGGTGCGCTGCAATCTTCCCATTCAATTTGGATGCAGTTGACGTGGTGGTGACAAACGTCAGGGACCATCTCGATGAAACGATCGACCCCTACCTAGTACCCGCCGAACACAACACCTATGGGAAGAGCCCTTATGGATATGTTCCCCAGAAGTATGTGAATGAACCAATCTGCCCATTGTACATAAAGCCTGTGTGGGAAGAAGCAGTGGTAAGTGTGCTTAGGTTCTGGGTTCGTTGCCAGGCACGTTCAGGTCATTGGCTTTAAGGCGTCCAAGATAAAAGGGAATCTTTGATTTGGGATCTTTCAGCTTGATGTTCAATTCCAATATCCTGAAAAATTAATGATTAAGTTATCCTAAATGTCAAAGGAAATTACCTTTCTTTCTTCCTAATGGACAGGTGCAACAGGTTGTCCATTCTCTGGTGACAGTATGGGAGAATTTACAGAAAACCACATTTGTCCATGTGACTGAAACTTTGAAATATCCTGTAACAGTAATAAATCGGTCTACTGTCACAATACCTGCGCCGCCCATTTACAAGACGGAAACCATTGTGAGTAATGCCTGTAATTTTTAATCGGTAAAACTGTTATTGTCTTAGTTAGTATTGAGACTTGTATTTTATATCTTGTGCAGTATGTAGGTACTTCATTCCAGCACTTACATTCCTCCTTCCAGATTGTGCCGGAGGAGAAAACGGTAATGTCTGCGAGGATTGACACTGTTGCATACACCATAACTCAGACAAACCTCGAGGCAAGTCCAAAGATCGTAATCTTGAATATTAAATGATATAGTATAATGCAGTTTACATTATTTTCATGGTGGTTTACCAGTAACATTACTTTACTCTACAGGTTATAACATATACACTAACAAATACAATCACTACAACGACATTTGAAGCAGAATGGATTACACTAACTGAGTACGAGACCTCTTGGGAAACGGTGAATGTGCCCGTGACGAGTATCACCACCATCTGGACACAAGAGGTCGGTTAGCATTTTTTATATCTTTAGATAACTGTGGTATTATAAAAACAAGTATTAGCTCATATGATTATAGTCGGGTTAATAGGTTTTCCTGTACTAACACTAAATTGCTGGTTTTTATTCTTCCCTGTGGTTGGAACATGTGTTGTCGACACACTTTGGATAAGCTGCTATGATTTTTGTGATATGTTGAATGGTTGAATTATAAACATGCCTAACTGAAAATGGTGTTGATGGCCAATGAGAAGTTCCTGAGCAACTATCAGCATAGGATTTTTGGCATATAGTTGGGTAGTGGGTAGGAGCTGCAGTGAACATGTTAAGGGGAGTGGACAGGTGGACAAAATCTTGGTTCTCAAACTCTTGAGCACAGATGTACCAAAGTATTCAAAGTATTTAGATAGAACCCGCCCATAAATGTGTGAATTTAATGTAGGTTTATTAAGGGTTAAGTACTGTCTAGTAGACATTCATTTTACAATCTGTCAAAAGAATCGACAGCAAAAAAAAAAAAAAAATACTCGGCATAATTGCCCTCTTCACCAGTACCCTCAATACCTGATACAGATACAAGAGGGTAAAAGTTGATCACCCAGCTGCTTTCCGGATGTGCCATAGGTTAAGGTATTGATCCGATAACGATGTGTTCCAGGTGAGTAATTACACCAGACCTACAAAAGGAACAACAGAGGGAAGAACAAGAAAAGGCACGAAAATGCTGAAGGCTGTATTGGATTTTCAGGGCATACAATTCAGTTCAGTTCATTTAGATTTGCAAAGACTAGCTTCGCTCGGACCTTTTCTCTAGAGTGGCCCGGCCTGTGTCCACTATTTCCAGTTGACTCGTGTGTTTTCTTTGAATTGTATGCTTAGCGTGGTGGCTGGATTGCAAGCAAGCAATCCATGGGGGCTGTGAGTTCGCAGGTGTCGTCCAGCCTATCCATACGGATAATTGGTTCTGGGATAGTCTCTATCCTTTTCTCATGACTCCAGGTGTCTATGTCCTGAATTCGTTGAGTGAACAGGGCATGAGGAGGCTGAGGGTAGAAGACTTTAGCCCAGTGTTCTTCAAAAACTTAAATGACATCCATGGGATTGGAAACATTTACGTTATTGTGAGTGAGGTGTAGAAGGGGGGGAAGTTGCTACCTTTAAGTTGACATATTTTTTACCAAAATTCCCGTGGATTGCGAACTCTGTTAAACTCTTAACCAAATTGTTCCAATGATTTTGTCGGTTGTTATCTAGACTATCAATGACGTGTCTTCTGAGGATAGGCAAGTCCCATCGAACATGATTTAACCTGTTTAAATGTTGCGTGAAACGATTTCGAAAACAAGTCAGTAGACGTTTTGTCCTTTCAGATGGCTGAAATGAGAAGCGTTTCTTGCACTGAGACCGGGGGATGGTGCTCAGCATGGTTGATACGATGTGGGCGATGATGAAATTCCAATGCCCATCTATTGTTTGGGAATCGAGCCTATCAAGATTAAACTGAAAATTTTGACTTAATTTAGATTTAAACGTCTCCCAAGCTGCTTGTTTGTACCGGAAAGATCGTCTTTTTTTGTTAAGTATTGGTGAGGTGGAAATTTTAATTATGACGGGTATGTGGTTCGGACCGGGTTGGAGGTGTGTGTGGTTGGCGAGTGCCGCTCTGTTCACGAAGACAGATCAGGGCGGCCCTTTCCCACGTTCGTGTATGAGGTGAAGTCGGGTCCTATGGAGTGAAGTCTTTGTATCAAAGATAGAAAGGAGTCGCCAACCATGTGCGTTGGTAGAACTGTGGTGTAATGCGTGGTGGGTGGCGTTGATGTCTCCGGCAAAGAAGACTGGGAGGCTCGTAATGTTGAACAAACGGTTAAAATCAGCAAGAGGCAAGTTAGTTTCGCGTCTGACATAGGCAGTGGAAAGGATAATGGGGCCCTGTGGGGTGAATATCCTGACTGCCATTAGGTCGGGGTAAGTGAATGGGAGGATGATAAATTTGAAAGTGGTGGATTTAATGAGAATAAAGGACCCCATGTGCAAACCGTCTCCCGTTTGCCTGGATGTATAACCGTAATGCCGAATTCTATAGCCATTTGTGATGGCTGTAGAATTCAGTAAAACTACATCTGGGTGTTCTTGATCTAGAAAATCATAAAATATGTTACGTATAGAGACCTTGCATTTGCTTGTACGATTGTTAGCATGCCACTCAGGGTAGACCCATTTTACCTGGGTTTACCTTGCGTGGCGTCACCTGATCCCTATAGCGGTTCCGTCGGTTCCTCGAGGTAAGGAAGTCTTGGGAATCGGCGGACCAATTCCCAATGCTTCCGCGCTGCCCCAAAGGCCCCTGGCGGGAGCACGGCAACGGCTCCACCAGAGGGGTAGGGAGCTCGTCCTCGGCTTCGGGAACGACTTCAACGTCGATCTCGGAGCCGCTACTTTCGTCGCCGAAGATGGTGTCATCCATCCCCTGGCGACGAGGGTGAGAGATCGGGGGATCCTTCTTGTCTTTTTTGTTATGCGTGGTTAGTGGCAAGGTTTGTTTGCGCTTCTGTTCGGTGTTCTTTGTAGTATCAGGTGCCTGTGCGGTTTCTCTGGGTTTGGGTTGTGGTTGTGGTTGCAAAACGAGGTGTCTGTGTTGTGTGGAACAATGAGGCTCTTGGTGAGTGATTGTCACCTTGTTATCCATGGTTTCGGTGTTAGTGGTGTATTCCGGGATGTATAAGTTGTCGTCTTTGAAGCTTTCATCAGGGACGACAATGCTGGGGAAGCCGTATTTCTGTAGCATGTTCGGGACAGTGTTTGCGATTTTTTTGGCATATTTTGTAACGATTAAACTTGTGTGTAAAATGGCTTGTATTTTCGGATTTGTGTTGGGTGTGAATGCGTGGGTATGGGGGAGTGTTGGCATAGTCGTCCTTGAGGAAGTCGTGGGTCGTCTGGGTGTGCTAGTCTGAATCGGTTTTGTGGCAGCTGTTGTGGCGTCCAAAAAGTTAGTTACAAGTTACATATTCACCAATACCTTAAAACTAAAGGAGCATAAATTCCAGCAGTACTAACGATAAAATATCGAAAATTGAGAGTAGACGTCATATAAGTGAGAATCGCATT